AAAAAAAAATGCTGTGTATAAATAATTCTTTTACGATACAAATTTAAGCGTGTGAACCTGTATTATAAACTCCAATAAAATGGCTGAAACAGTGGAGCCATACATGGCGCCTAAGCATCGAGGTCCCAAACTCGCCAATCTAAAACATCAAACGTTCCGACAAAGCTGTCAGTTCTGGTTATTCTGTGCCTGAACGTAGTTGATTCACATTCCCATTGGGTGTTATTCTTTTTTAAACCTGTATATAGTATTTAAATTACCTGCGAAAAGTGTTACATTTACAATTATTTTCTGAAATATTAACTCTATTCGGAGATGTTTCAACACCGTGTAAATTCACTCTGTGAAATTTTTATCTGTGTAATAAAAAATTCGTCAGCGAATCAGTCGTCGCTACTCAGTCGCAGTCGTCGGCGACCGGCGACCATGGAGGAAAACGTACCTTTAGTGTTGTTATTGAATAATAAAAGTGTAGTGTATGAATAAAAACTACGTACATATTTTACTATAATATATTCAATACCACTTAACCTTATGACAACCCATTAATCAGTGTCGGGGCGATCGGCATTGCGCACCGATCGACGATCGTGAGTAGAGGGGAGGCTTTTTAAACATGTTTGTACTTTAATACATTACATTTCCTTCCCCTCAAAATTTACACTAATTAATAAAACAGAACTTAACAACATTTTCTCTTAATTATATTCTAATCGATCGGGAGGACGCCTTTTACGAATTGGACGATTTACATTACAAGATAAATCTTCCTCAAGTTGTTCCGATGAACGTGACGAATTAGTTTCTGTTAAATTTTTATTAATTGATTGTGCCTTCATTAGAACACCCGAAGTTACATGTGAATGTGTTAACATATCAAGGTAAGGATGACTGTCATTACTACTATTATTTTGTTTACATTCTATCATTTGATTCGCGTGTCTTTTACAGTAAGTATTTGAATCAGGTAAGTAAATTATATATACAAACTTTCCTAATTTTTTTGTTATTTTTCCGTCAATCCAACTAAATTTGCTACCTTTATATTCCTTAACCAAAACTTTTTGTCCTATTGAAAATACTACTTTTCTTCCCCCCTTAAAATTGTATTTATTACGATTATTACTAGCCATAATATTGTCTTTAATAATTGCAGACGTTTTATTATCTCTGTTTTGAATAGAATTCGGCTTGATTAAATCAAATCTCGTTCTTAAGGGTCTATTCAAAAATATTCTTGCTGGTGATTCACCAGTACTGCAATGTTCTGTGTTACGATAATCCAAAAGAAAATTATTTAACAACAAATTCAAATTGGCTAGATTTCTCTTTGAATCTTTCAAAACTTTAATTAAAAATTTCTTTACAGTTTTTACAGAATTTTCGGCACTGCCATTAGACGCTGGATGATAAGGAGGTGAAGTTATATGAGTAATACCATTTGACTTTAAAAAATTTTTAAATTCTTGTGATGTTAATTGAGGTCCGTTATCAGATACAACTGTTTTTGGTAATCCAAATCTAGAAAATAATTCCCTAAGTCTATTGATCGTATTTAAAGAAGTTATTGATAACATGGAATAAACTTCTAGCCATTTTGAGTATGAGTCAATGACAATTAAATAAAATTTATTGTTAATAGGACCCATAAAATCAATATGTAATCTTTCCCACACCCCGGCCAAGGGCCAATTCTGTAGGGAAACTTTTTGTGGGGTCTGTCTTATACTTTTACAAGATGAACAATTTCGAATCATATTTTCTATTTCGTTGTTTAGGGAAGGCCACCAAATGTAAGATCTCGCTAGACTCTTTGTTTTAACAATTCCAAAGTGATTTAAATGTAATTCATCTAATATATTTTTTCGTAAAGTTTCAGGAATAATTACTCTACAACCCCAGACGAGTATATCGTCTTCAATATTTATTTCATTTTTTCTTTTAAAATATGGTTTAATATAATCATTGCAATTTGCAGGCCAACCTGACTTAACGTAAGTATAAATTTGTGATAAAATTGAATCCTTTTGTAATTCAGAACGAATAGTTTCAATATTTATAGGAATATCCGTATTATTTGCAATATAATTAATATAGTTGTAATGTTTATGACGTCAACATCGCGACAGGCGGGCGCGAGAACCAGGCCTCTTAAAAATGAACAGGTTAAAACACGTTCAAGGGAGAGTTGTAACACAACCTTTACAACCGTTACAGTGAACGGATGCACACAGAGTATTATACCAAATAGATTGTTATTTTCTTTTAAAATATACATAAATTGCTAATAGAGTGATTAAACCATAACATAACAGTGTTTAATGTAAACCCACAATACCACAATAGTAACATAGATCTTCTTCTTTTTCTGTTTCAGGTAAGGGCATGCGTGATAAAAAATCAGCAACATTCTCAGAAGATTTGACATATTTAATTTCAAAGTCAAAACCAGATAGAAACAATGCGTATCTTTGCAATCTGTTAGCTGTCATCGTAGGTATTCCTGTCTTAGGACCAAATATAGACACTAATGGTTTGTGATCTGTTAACAAAATAAACTTTTTGCAATATAAATATTGATAAAATCTTTTTATTGCCCATACAATCGCTAATGCTTCTTTGTCTATCTGTGAATACATTTTCTCAGATTTTGAAAGAGTTCTGGACGAAAAACAGATTGGTCTTACTATTCCTGACTCATAAACATGGGAAAGCACTGCTCCCAACCCGAATTCTGAAGCATCAACTGTTAATTGAATTGGTAAATCGGGATTATAATGAACTAAAAATTGATCTGAAGCTAAAATTTGTTTAATTGTTGAAAATGACTGATCACATTCGTTACTCCAACACCAAGGAACATCTTTTTTAATTAATTCATACAATGGGTGTAACATATTTGGTATATTTGGCATAAAACGGTGATAATAATTAATTGCTCCTAAGAATGATTTTAATTGGGTGACATTATTTGGTTTCGGGATTTCTGTGATTGCTTTTATTTTATTCATCGATTTATGAAGTCCGTTCTTATCAATTACATAACCTAAGTATGAAACTGATGGTACAAAAAAAGAACATTTTTCTCCCGTCACCGTCAATCCGCAATCTTGCAAAGTTTCAAAAACTTGCTCTAATCTATGTAAATGCTCTTTATCGTTTTGACCAGCGATCAAGATGTCGTCCATAAAACAACATACACCATCCATTTTATTAAACAGTAATTCCATCGTACGCTGGAATTTTGCTGGAGCACAAGCCACACCAAAGGGTAATCTATTATACTTAAACAAACCTCTATGTGTACTAATTGTAGTTAATTCTTTGGACTCATCATCGAGCAATAACTGTAAATAAGCCTGTGACAAATCTATTTTCGAAAACTGTTTACCCCCCTTTAATTTTGAAAACAAATCATCGATCTTAGGAAGTGGGTATTTATCAATAATTAAATAGGGATTAATCGTGACTTTATAATCTCCACAAATTCTGACAGTATTATTTTTTTTAAGTACAGGGACGATAGGTGCTGCTACACTGCTAAAACTTACAGGAGAAATTATTCCTTCACTTAATAGCCGATCTAACTCCTGATCAACTCTTTCTTTTAGAGCATAGGGAACAGGTCTAGGTTTATAACATTTAAAAGTACAATTTTCTTTCAATTTTAAATTCACCTTAAATTTATTAAATGTACCCAATTGTTTTGAAAAAACTTTAGAATATTTCTCCGCAAGATAATCTTTAATTGTATTTCTGCATTGCAGACTTTTAATTTCTTGTAAGGCCAAACTAAATTCACTAATGAAATTACGACCCAATAATGGTAATTTCCCATTATGATCTACCACACAAAATTCAATGTATTTTCTATTTTTATTATATGTAATTTAAAGTTTAATTTTTCCTATCATTCTAAGTTCAGATCCACAATAATTAACCAACCGTAAATTTGTTTCATACAAATGATAGTGACCAAAATTATTTAACCAATAATCTTTTGACATAACTGATATACCAGCTCCACTGTCCAATTCAAATTCATACTCTTTATTAAGTACAGTAATTTTAACCATTATAGGTTTGAATAATTCAACATTTGATTTAATATTATTTAATGAAATATCTAAATAATTAACTTTTCTTTTACTATTGCAAACTGCGCTCAAATGTCCTATTTTGCCACAAGAATTACAAATATAATTTTTATATTTACATCTATCTGCCCTGTGATTTACGTTACCGCATCTATAACACCTTACTGCGCCGCCACCACCGTGGATGTCACCCCTTGCTGATGACGCACCGGCTGACGTCGGCGTCGTGTCTGCATAAGCTCGGCCGCTCTGGCCGCGCGTGAATCTTGTACCATGTCCGCCTCGCTCCGACTTCCCTCTTCCCCTATTTCTGTGCCATCGCTGATCCAGCCGCAGGATTTCTTCTTCTACGGGCTCGGTCTTGAATCGGGAAACGCCGNCCTCAACCTCCTCCAAGCTGAAGCTCTCCACTGACAAACAAAGACTATGATCGGGGAAATCAGACTCCACAAAAACAGGATCAGATTGAATATAAACGGACTCAAAATAATCAGCAAAAGCATCCACAATACTTCGACCCGAACCGAACTCCAGGTTTCCATTTGTCATCAGGCCTGGAATGCGAGTACCGCCCTTCCGTGATCGAATATAGGCCCAGAAGGTACTGGGATCAGAAATCAAAGATCGCTCAACATCGTTCATGTACGCATTATATGCATCATGTAGCGTTTAAATTCATTCAGGCAATACAGTGAACCACTACGCTTATGCCTTGCGCGCATATTCTCCTTCATGCGAATACAATTCCTTATCTCCTTCGTGAACCAAGCAGGCCAACGACGATTCGTAGAATTTCTCACAGTTTTAGGCACTGCTAAATCAAAAACATCGTGTAGCTTGTTATAAAGAAGCCGGCATGCATCATCTACCATTCTAATACCATCCAGGTCCGACCAATTCACCTCACCCAACATCCGATACAACAAAGGATAGTCTGCACGCTTAAAGTTATAGGTGGGTAGGCCACGATGCTTAAACATGGAAACCTGGGGAGCATAATCCAG